CATATAAAAAATTCCAAAAAACAACAACGACAAAAATGTAAATGCACTGCTTCATTGTTGTTGTTGTATAGTAGAAATCTCCTATAGAGAGACACCCCCTGGAATTCTGCCTTTATTATGAGATTTCTCTGTGGAAGACTGGATATTTCTTGAGAAAAGACCAAAAAGAACATTTCAAGAACTTAACTGAAGGGGAAAACATCGCTATGAAGGGGGATAGCCTAAGACTTTCCCCCTGGAAGACTGGCTATGAAGTAAAACTTTCTCGGGGGAAGTCTTACTCACAGGCGCTTGACGTTTTTTAACCTTTCTTTCCATAAATAAAACCCCCCATACTATAATAATAACAAGGTTCGTCACGGTCGCCATCTTGAATTTTTCAGTTCAGCTACTTAGCCTCGATTTTTAGTCTACAATGTGTTTAAAATTAACGGATACAACCGTTTCCCTCAAGTACTTACTTTAACTATGCCTCCACTTTCGGGCAATTCAACTCAAATCACATTAAATCCTCTCTAATTCTTAAAATGTCAATTCAAACTCAGTCTACTGCTACCGATTCCGTAAAACTTAGAAAAGGGAGGCCGGAAGTTGATGTTAGAACGTCACTATCCGGGAAAACCCTTTTCTGGTCGGTGGATATCTTGAGAGTTATATTGATATTAAGACGTGTTTAAAAATGGAGCTTGAGCAGTTCTAGACTACTGGTACGTATTTTATAAATAACTTAGTAATATATATTGATACATTTAAGAAACACTGAAATATTTAGGCTGAATATTATACACTGTACTTTACATACAAAGGCGTAGTTACACACCTGAAAGTATTTTAGGGGGGCTTAAATCCAAATAAAAATTCAATTATATTGTCAAAACATAAAAGCGTTTACAATTTAATTCTGAAACTGCAATGGGAATAAATTCTAGCTACGTCTCAGCATATGTCTTTGAAGTTGTCTCAATACCTGCCAAATATCTCATGGATTTCTCAGGACACAGAAAGTTTTGCCCAAGAATGATGCTTAAAATGTCAGGAGTGCAACATCTTTTTGTGATTTTTGAAAATTCAATATTTTTTGAAGATCTGTATAATAAATAGTAATGGTTAATGTTGGGAAGAAAGGCTTTCCTGATAATCTTCAAAGTATTGAGCTTTAAATGTAGACTTTAGCAACTTTTGTTTGTGGTCATGACTGATGTTGAAAAAAAATGTTATACTATGTCAGGAGTGCAACAGAAAAAAATGTAGTGTTGCCAAAAACACTGATTTTAAAAATCTGTATGACAATAAAGCAGAGCTGCCAACATCATAAAATGAAAAATGGAAACAAGGAGATCCAGAGGCCTCTTAGACCCGCGGCCGCTAGATATTTGATTTTGATTACTTTGAAATGATTTAGATCTCAAGTTAGCATTATGATAGAAAGGGACAATAACAAGTCAAGGAAGCGTCGTAAGGACCATGGCTTTTGTATTGTAATGGTGAAAACTGATTGTTAGAAAGCTATGAAAATAACAGTGTTTCAAACATTTGACGGAGAGAAACAGGTATCTTAAGGATAAATAAATAAATCGTAAGGCGTATTTTAGACCCCCACACCGTAAGCCTTACGCCAAAATCGTAAGGGTTGGCAGCTCTGATAAAGTCAAAAAAGAATTTTAAAAGCGTAAAACAATAACTGATATACTATTTAAAACTTAAAAATATTACATAAATCACAAGCAACATTAACGGAATTAGAGTCAAGTATCTGTGCATGCCAAAATTATGCCAAGAGTGCAACATTTGATGTTTTGCTCCCCAACATGGAAAAAACTTTTATCGGTATATGATTCGGTGATATCTAAAGACACAAAGAACATTTTACCAAATAGATCTATCAATTATAGGGTCTGTGTGTGTTTCATATCTATATTTCTATGGTAAGGAGTGCAACACATTTTTTAAAGATCCAAGTTTTATGATGAAAAGACTTCTATTCATACCGATAAATTTTCTTTAATCAAAAATGATCTGATGAATAATTTAGTACTAAATATTGAGAGTTTTGTTATTAAAATCTTTCTCTTTTTTCAGTTTTATCAATCCATATGTGTTTTATCTTTGAATTTTTTTATGAAAGTAAAGAAAAAACAATGAAAAATTGTTATAAAATTCAAGTTATTCCACCTCAAATTCAATGAAACACAGAACACGTTCTGATGTAATTTATGCCTCGCAATTCTACTTTAAAGACTTGCATTCTCTTGGTCAGGAGTGCGACAAAAATGTTAGAATTATTGCTGATGAAATATGCATAAATATAAAGAAAAAATCGATTCATGTAGTAGAATGTTTCTGGTTGTCCACAATTGCTTACAATGTTTGTCCCATGAAGGAAAATACACAATAGAATATACTTCTGAATATAATTTTAGCAGGGTTTTTTTTTTAATATATAGGGAGTAACTCAAATACAATGCCAAGTTTAAACACTTTTATGTGTTTAAACCATGAAGTTATGGACAGTAAATACTGCACAATTTCGTTATCAGTTGATGTTGCCAACACTTTATGATTTTTTTTTTTTTATTATTTATTTTTTTTCTATTTCATTTTTTTTTTTTGTGTTCTATGGTTTAAATGTTAAATTTTACTGCAGTCAGAAGTACAACAAAACTGTTTTATAATTATCAATGAACTTCATCTATCTATACTAAAAATGAATTGCAGAAAATGTTTGAAACTATTTGTAGTTCAAATCATTATGTCTATCAATTAATTGCAGATATTGTTTGGACATTTTACAGTCAATTCACAGAATAATTTTCATCACTAAACATATATTTTTTATATATATTACACAAGCAAACATATTTTGTAGTCTAGACAATATGAAAAACTTGCTGTAAATGATAAAAAAAAATATCAAAACGATGAACTGATTTTACAAACTTTGAATGAGTTATTGTGTGTCATAATATTTAGATAATGTTTAATAAAATACATTGCATAAACATGTATCAGATGTCAGGAGTGCATCAAAATAAGGTTAAATAGGATCACTGCAAATTCTAGTATTTTTTGTAAGAAAACTTGTATATCAAAATTCTTTTTTGGCTTAGATTTAAAGAACTGACTTAAATGGACTAAACAATACTTTTGGGGAATTATTGCATCATATTTCTTTTATATTAAAACTTTTCAAACTAGAATTGAAAAAGATTAATGCTAAATATCAATTAAAAAGCCAATTTCTTTCACATACACAAGAGAAGATACTCAGTCAAGGTTAAGATCTAATCATTCTTATCCCTGACACCATTTTGAAGCATAAAAAACATTAAAAAAAATCATTTTACATTTGATTATGTATTTTTGAAAGTCTTTCAGGATGTAGTAATATTTTCTTTTTTCAATTAAGCTTCACTAATAAAAATTCTGAAACTTTTTTATGCAGTTGTCTATTTTTTTTGCCATTTCAGGAATTTTGACTAGAATCCATGCTCAGTATGATGATATAAGTGAAAAATGTTATGGTTAGTTAAAATTTTTTCTCAAAAAAATTTAATTGTGGTCATTGTTTTTTAAATAACCCAGATAGGTTTTGCTTATATGAGCAATGAACAGAACATTAATTTTAAAATATGTTCAATGAATTTCAATTCTATTATAAATTTCTTTCAAGAATTCGAACGTATGTTCTTTCAAGAAAACAAAAGTTTTAACTTTAAATTCTATTTGGAATTTTTGTACTGCCAAACATGATAGATAGACTACCCATTGTGGGCCCCACCCTACCCCATGGGACTGATTTAAACAAATCTGAATCTACACTACCTAAGGATGTTTCCCTATAAATAATAACAAACCTGCTGTTTTTAAAGTTTTTTCCTGTATATTCATATGTACAAAAAAAAAAAAAAATGATCGCCCATTGTGGGCCCTACCCTACATCCCATGGGATTAATTTGAACAAAGTTGAATCTACACTACCTAAGGATGTTTCCCTATAAACAATAATAAACCTGCTATTTTTAAAGTTTTTTCCTGTACATGTATATTCATATGAAAAAAATTTGATCGCCCATTGTGGGCCCCATCCTACATCCCATGGGATTAATTTGAACAAAGTTGAATCTACAATACATAAGGATGTTTCCCTATAAATGATCACAAACCTGCTGTTTTTAAAAGTTTTTTCCCGTTATCATATGTAAAAAAAAAAATATTATCGCCCATTGTAGACCCATCACCATCCTCGCAAGCCAGGGGTCCTGAGTCAACACGTAACGGCATCGTGTTGACTCAGGACCCCTGGCTTGCGAGGATGACCCATCACATAAATCTACACTACCTGAGGATGTTTCCATATAATTATCACAAATCAGGTTTTTGTTGTTCTTGAGAAGATTTTTAAATATTTTCGATCTACTCCTAAGTAAAACTTTGATTGCCCACTATGGCCCAACCCTTCCCCTGGGATCATAATTTGAACAAACTTGAATCTACACACCCTGAGCATGCTTCCCCATAGAATTGTCTAATCATGGCTTTTTCTGTTCTCTAGAAGAAGTATTTTATATGATTATTTTTCCCTAAATATCCCTATGCAATCATTGCATTACCCATTGTGGCCTATACCACCGGGGATCATGATTTCATAAATTCAAATCTACACTATATAATAAAACTTAAACATCTTTCATAACTTCTGGCCAATTTGTTCTTGAAAAGATTTTTGAAAGATGTCATTATATTTTTACTAATTTTTAATTATCTGCCCTTGAAAGAGGGTTTGGCCCTTCATTTCAACAAACTTGAATCCCCTTTAGCCAGTTGTCAGATGAGCCAAGTTAAAAGACAGCGATAATGATAAACGGACAAACTTCAGAAAAGATAACTTGAGTCATTAGTTCAGGTATGGGAATGAAAAAAATTGAGCCTAACTTGTAAAATATTTTTCGTGGCATTATTCTTTGCAATAATTCATACATTAACTAAACACAAACCAAAGATTTTTTAACAAAAATTTAATCAAATGTTTATTTATCTTTTGGTTCAAGTGATTTTCAAACATTTATATCATATAAACAAGTGTTTATAATCATTTATAATTAGTTCAACCATGTTTTCATTTAACCTGCTAAAACATCCAAGGCAGTCAAATAAAATATTTGGATGTAAAGATGAAACAAAATAAAGAAAATATGTAGTTTTGTAAACCTCAATTACATTAAGAATATAACCTTAATTACATTAAGGATATCACATTCTCAATTTTAAACTATATCAGATCAAAAACTGTAAATTAAAGGGTATAAAGTTTTCTTTGTTTGAACACATCTATTTTTCATTTAAAATTTACTTAAAGATATGCCTTTTTAAACAAATGAAATAATTAAAAAGAAAAAAGGAATCCGTAAAAAAAACTATGAGATACTTAATTTTTAATTTTAACAGCTGTACAACAAATAAAAAATATTATGCTTTGCATATTCATATGTAAGACAAAAACACAAAACAGGTTGAAGAAACAATCTGTTTTTTAAGCTTTGTAGTGATAAATGTAATTACTTGACAGTTAATTGCATTGATTATTTAACAAAATAAAGACAAAAACAAATGAATGAATAATAACTAGAAAACTAGAAAAAAAAAATATTCAAACATTTGAATTAAGCTTCATTGGTTTTAAAATTGTTACATCTTTTAAAGTATGTTTAAAAGCAAATGTGCTTAAATAAATGCTACATAAACATAAAACACCAGCAGTGCTACATCTATAGACAATGAAGGCACATAATTTAGGATACACTGTCCAAAAATAAGAACAAGTATCGCCTTTTATATGTCTGATTAAAAATGATTCATGGAATCCTCTAATCGTTTTATTAAACAACAAAAATCAAGAAAAATACAACAAAATTGGTGCTATATCATAGCAGAACCATACAGATTCGACTATCTTCAACCATATTTAAAAAACATGAAACAAAAAAAAAACAACTAAATCTAAGAATACGTTATGTCTAAATCCACTTATAAATCAGAATAAGCGACAGACTAGACATTACTAAATCTACCAACACAAACCTACATTTGTAAATAGTAACTAAAGTAGACGTAAAGTCTAACACTGGGTCATTATTGACAACTTCTTTGTTTGGATTTTCTTTGCATGATTCTGATGCGTTTCAAGAAAATAATCCTTTGGAGGAATATCGCCGAAGATAAAATGTGCTTAAAATATATATTTATATATTCACATGCAACTCCAGAAAATCATGCCAGGAAAAGGACAGATTTTTGTGTTTTCTTTGAGTTTTTTCCCTTTTCTCTTCAAAATTTTTTTTTCCAAAAATAAAATTTAAAGTCAACTGGACATTTTCACTTTGTCAATGAATGGTGTTGAGGCATTTTCCTCCTCTGCTTTTTGAACGGAGTCAATTATCTCCATAAATGTACCGCTTTTTGAATGTGATAACGAGGCGTGGTATCTCTCTCTATCTTCTGGCTGACTGGGCCCCCAACTTTCTAGAGGGGTTGTCAACTTGTTCCACCTCTGCAAAAGAGAATACGGTGGTTGCTTCATTAAGTTAGGTCTCCAACACTTTAATATTTTCTGAGACACATCAACAATTACACAATTTTCGTCCCCAACATAAGCTTGTTGTACGAGAAGCATTTAATGAATTAATTAGTACATGTAGTTACTTCTTTTCAACACTTGAAATTTGCTGAAGCACATCAATAATAAAATGATTTTTTTTCAAAAGCTAAATGTAAGAGAGACCTCTGATGATTTTATTGGTAGTTACTCCCTTCCATATAAAATTTTAATGAAATATGTGAATAACCAGTGCAAAATTTCAGCATGTGCTTTTTTTTTCGATATTAACTCTATTTCATGGAATAGTAATTGAAACAACGATTTTCACCTCACAAAGTGTTCCTTCTGAACATATAAAAGACGTGATAGCAATAATTGGAATCGGAAGCATTGATGCCACACCAAGACACCATCCAAAAACTATGGCCCACTCGGGATATGCTCTCCCATCGTATGTAACAGGTCCTAGAGTGATGACGCTGAATAACCAAATGCCCTGTTCAATTATAATTTTTTTTTTAAAATAAGGGTAAGAGTCTTACGTGAATATCACAAAAAAGATCTAAAAATAGATGATATAAGAAATGTTCAATAAAAATCAATATAAACAAAATAAAATTACCAAGATTATAGTTGGTGTAATATATCGCCACATTATATGCCAAATGGCATGAGGTTTGTACCCAAGCATTAATTCAATGTCTTTGTAAAATCGCTCTGTGCCTGAAATATACCATTCATCATCAATTGAAAAGTAACGTGATAAATTGTAAACTATGAGGGTATGCATGCATTCACATGTATCTCAGTTCTGTATCAATACAACAACAGTCTAAGATTCTCAAAAATGTCAACTTTATGAGGCAATATAAATGTAAATATATTCCAACAGCTCGTACCAATATTATTAAAACTGAAGCAGAAAACATTCTCAGATCCGTCTTTATTCCATTTGGATAAGAAAAGCAATTCAGAAGACATCTAAATATTTACCATATATCCATGCAATAGCCAGACATTCTGTTAGGGAGATAAGCATTAACGAGAAGCTAGCACAGTACCAATCCATTATCTGCAGAACGTAAATTCCACCCTGAAAATAGAAATTTTGCGTAACATTTCAGAGAAATCTAGCTTCTGTCAACACACTTAAAAGGAAACGATATGAATTCGTTCGATTTCTTTTTTTATGTACATTTTTTATCAATATTAAAGCTGAAGAAAAAAAGGTGAAAATTTAATAACTCTTAACAATCAGCTTTAAGATTATTTCATATTAACACATATATATCTCACCTGTGTAATGCAAGGAAGACCCAACAGAAATTCAAAGAGACAGGCTAAGAAACAAATCAGTGTTCTCTTCTTTCGCAATAAATGTGGGTATTCGTCCAAAAATGCTGATATGCAAGTTTCAACCATACCAAACTAAATAAAATAATTTTTGAAATACTATAACATCGGATCTTTTATAAATTAACCCTTTTTTCCTTTTAACACTATAGCATGTAAATATGAAGGCAACAAAATATATCAGATATCTATAATTGCTTCAGTCATATCTTTGGAAAACCAAATTTAAAAACACAGTGATTTCAAATTTAGATATTTACACATCATTGTATTCTATTTGCCATTTCTTTAATTTAGATAAGATAAAGCAATTACAAATACTGAAAAATATATAGTAGTTATAAAATCACCACTCATAACCTGAGTATGATACTAATAAACAAGCAGTCTGATTTGGATGCATTTCTGTTTTTATGGGGTAAAGGGAATTTAGTTTTGTGACCACATTAATTTACAAAATTTGTAAGTATTGAGAAGTTATTTGGGGTAGAAAGATGTCCATATTCTTGGGTAAATATAAAAGCATATTCATTTAATTTTACGAAGAAGTAACCTAAAAATTAAATTGTACACATTAAAAAAACTAAAACAAATCCATGGGGTGAAGATATGTCATTGAAATGTTAATTGATCATGCTTAGGAATATAAATTTACATTCCTCCCTAAGGATGAAATTAATTCACTTTATGCAACATCACCACATCATTATTTTAAAAAGGGGACTGTGATTAAATATTTCTCATATGAATATTTTCACCCCGTATATCGATATCCTAGTTCCTCAAATATTTCAATTTAACATCTATGTTTCGATCACAAAATGGACATATAAAAACCTATTTGACTTTCAGCCTGGCGATGCCTGTTCGAGGCCCCCTTTGCTTCTGTTGCCGACCATACCTGTCTCAATGAAGGAAATCAAAATCATGTAACACACAACACTATCTCAAACCGATTTTTCTTTGAAAATTTTGAGAAAAAAAATATCCAGTTAGTCCAAAAATCGACTAGATTTGGATCCAACTTTGAGTCCAGACAATCCAGATGAAGCAGAAATATATGCATTCGCTAAATCTGCATGATAAATATATTTTGTCTGATTTATAGAATGCATAAAGATATATCTGATTGAATTATTGAACATAAATTAGAACTTTGAAGTATGTGTGCTTTATTTTCCAATCTTTGAAACCGGAAGGTTTAAACATGTACGAATTCATGGAATTATATATTTGAAGCATCAAAATTGAACAATATCACGCTTTGTAATATATGAAGTAAAACTACATACAGTGTCCTTTTTTTAAAAAATCGTTTTATGTTTGGCTCACGATTAAGCAGTTTCTTCACTGCATAGATATATATTTTTTAAATTGTTCAAAGACACGTTTTTGGGAATGAAACCTATGCACTAACTATTTAAGGGAGAATTTTTATTGCAAACTTCAGTATACTCACGATCAAATTCTAAGGAATTCTTTGTCAACTGTTTTGCAAATAATTAGATTTCAGTGTATATCTACTAAATGTACCTAATCTTAAAATGTTCATGACGTGTACATAACAAATTTGATATGGATCCTTTGTATTTTTAAACGGGGAAAAGAGCAGTGCTAGGTAACGACATCTACAGATTCTTAAATGGATACTACATGATTACGAAAGCTGAACAGGGGCCAGGCCCTTATTTCGGCAATTTGGTAATTGAGCAAAAAGGTTTCACAATAAAACGTTATTTTACTTTTGTTGATGTACATGACTTTAATATTATCTCGAGCTCTCTCTCTCTCTCTCTCTCTCTCTTTCTCTCTTGTACAATTACACACCTACTGGCAAAAAACTAAAGCAAAATTCATTTACAACTTTACTCAAAAGGTTCATTCATTCAATATTCAATCATTTATATACAAATACTCATGCGTTGATTGACGAGCATATAAAGAATTGGATAAAAAACACCCTGTCAAAACCAGAAAGCGTGATATAGAAAGCATTTTTAAAAGCATGAAATACTTTTCTGAAATGCTTTCAATTATCAAAGCCAGGATTTCAACAAAGTGTTTGTTACAGACATGAAAATAATTAATTTCACAATGTACCCTTGTTTTCTCTAACACTCTGTTTCATGTATTTGCTTACCTGGATGAATTAAAAGGTCGACCTTACCCCCAAAGAAAAGCGCTTCACATTCACCTTCTAACAGAATATAGTTTGTTTCATGTATACAAAAACTGTTAATTTTGAAAATGAACTTTTCAGCATGGATAACATAGTTGCTCCTTTCAATCTTTTAAAAATTAATCTAAAATATATATATTTTCAATTCAAAATATCTTAAAATTTCCATATTTAAAAGTATGGGTTATTTTTCAATTTCAGAAATATACATTATTTTCTTATATACCCTCCCAACACAGAATATAATTTTTTTGAAGAACTGACAACACTTTAAAGCACTTTATATGAAAGATAGTTTGTGTTAGATGACCTTTTAGGCACTTTATATGAAAGATAGTTTGTGTTAGATGACCTTTTACAAAATGAGAATGCTAACATTTTCAATGTCATTTTAACTTATGAGTGAATGGAGTTTAACGTAACTGAAAACAGCATTCAATGCAACAAACCATACAAGACTGGCTAACCAATTATAAAAGCTGGTTTCATGACTATGCAACAAACAGGATTTTTTTTCTGACCCTTTCCTTCACTTAAAATTCAAGTCATACAATGTACATGTACTTAAACTTATAGCACACTGTCCTTGCATCTCTGAATTCACACTATGAATACATCTATATGCCTATTGTAATTTTGAAACATAAATCTCATTATTACTATTTTGATAAGAATTTTCTGTGTTGGGATAGTAAACAATACCTTCAAACAAAATCTGAAGTCATTTTAAGATTACATTCTCTGCAACTTTGTTTTCCATATATCAGAAAGAGTAAAACGTCTTTTTAGCTTGGGTAAAACTAACTCAAACTTTATCATTTATAAAGAAAAAATTACAAATATTCCATTATATATATAGTTGATACAGTAAAACACTCTAAAATCTACACATGTTAATTCAGAATATTTTTCACCTCTGAAAAGTTTGATATTCATAATTCTCATTCTGTAATATAAAACTGCTTACATACTTGTGAATGGTGTTGCTTTCTGTCTAATGTTAATTTAAGGTAACAGGAAAATATTCAATTCAGTCTACTTGAGAGTGTCAAACCACATTTATTCCATTTTTCTTGGCTCTTTCTCGAAAAACAAGTAAAGGGATTTAGCAACAAAATTTTTACATCAAAAATAGTCTTCACCAATTTTAATTTCTTTATCTAAATCTGTGTGAAAGGTTGTACAGATATGTGCATAGAATATTTTGATTGGTGAACCACAATCAGTGATTGCTTTCAATAAATATTCAGAAACTTGTGTACATGTTCCATATGTAACCATCATATAACCATCTGTTCTACATCATTTCTTCAATATACCTGCCTTACCTATTGATTCACCTGCACATCTTCTTGGATAAATTTATAATATATACAAAACATTCAAATGTACGTGCACTTTTAAATGTTTCAACATAATATGCTAATTGCCTTGAAGTTTACAAATGGTTACATGTACTATCTGATTTAGTTATCTTATTTATCTAATAGGGTTTTTTCTTTATTTTTCTTTTGTTTTTGTTTTGAAAAAAAGAGCCTTCACCATGAAATTTGGAAAAATGAATAAGTTCATCTTTTAAATATCAATTTTTTTATCATTATAAGCATTTTCAAATGTAATAAATAACTCAGAAAAGGTTACTTGACCTCTCAAATAGACTAGGGAACAGAAAATGTAACGTAAATGATAAGGAGATGAGGTTTTAGCTACCTGGCTGTCCAAACCAATGGTGAATAACATCAGAAAAAATAGAACTGCCCACATAGGTGAAATGGGGAGGTTGGCAACAGCTTCTGGATATGCCACAAATGTTAATCCAGGTCCTATGGATAAAATATTTTACAAATTTAGTTTAACATTAATGCCTTGAACAAAAAAGTTCATTTTTGAATTTTGATATTGACTAGTATTTAGCTATTTGAAACCATTAATTTTATTTCTTTCCAGAATATTTTCAACTACCAAATATACTTTTCTCGTGAAATAAGTAAGAAAGAAAATTTTATCCTTCTTATCCTTAATTCTCTGAAAATTTTGCAACTTCACTGGATTTAATTCAGCATTGTTTTTTTTTCTATAATAATAAGTTATGTTTCTACATTCATGCCTATCTTTTCGGTTTCTAATGACTATTAAATTACAAATTGTTTGCAAAAATAGCTTGAAAATCAAAGATTTAATATAATTCGAATTTGGAAATTTGATCATTAATTTAACAGATCTCTCATGAAATTTTCTATCAGTGTGAGTTGCTGGTGTGTTGATTAATTTAATGTTTATACCTTGACTGACAACATTTTCAACTGTTGTATTGGCGGACTCTGCCATGAATCCCAAAATGGAAAAAATCACAAAACCCGCAAAAATGCTGGTGCTGCAGTTAATTATGGGCACCAACATTGCATCCCTTAAAATAAAAATAATAACATATATGATTATAAACATGGGTGATGATATTCTAACACCAAAAATACGTCTGTTTAGCGTTGGCCATGGTCTACTGACCGACTTTACTAACCTTGATATTGAAAAAAACTAATATGAAACTTCATCCGCAGCTTTTAAATTCATACATAATTAACTGTGTTTCATGTTGAAAAATAAACCTTATATTAAGAAAACGGTAAACAAGACTACAATATTATATTTTTCTTCATATTAAGCTTACAGAAACGGGATTATCTTCATATTTTATTGATCATCATACCTGTAAATATTATTGCTGAACCTGTTATAACTGGCCATAGTAATAATTCCTCCCCATGCCATGCCCACTGAGTAGAATATCTGTAGCGCAGCATCTCCCCACACCTACCACACATCAAAATCAAACATATATTATTTAATCATTTCGAAGAATAATTCTGTATTTTGTAAAACTGGGGGTGGGTTCGGGGTGATGTCGGGGAGGGGGGGGGGGGTGAAGAGTTTCATTGAAAATCTTAGGACGAAAAATGTCTACGAACTTCCTGAATCCAATATACTCCAACCCCTCCCTTTTAACTTGTGAACGTTATTTATTAATACACACGGGACCATTGAAACCTCAAAAGAAGAGCTTAAGAATTGCCTTCACAAAATTTCTCTAAAAGATAATCATTTCTGAGGAATTTCGATGATGACTTTCTGAAGTTACACATGGCTTCACATGGTGCTTAAATGTATTTTGTTTGGCAAAGATGCAGAATTCAACTTTGCCAGTAATAATTCTTTCGGTTGAAGCTGTGTTTCACTTCCAGCAAGAGTGAAAAGATAACATAAAGCCTATCTCACATCTGTAATTTGCCAACTTGAAAGTACAGAAGTAACACCAAGTTAATAATTACAAAATAGATGGTACACTTTTTTTCTTTCTCTGGATGCTAAATCACAAAAACCTTTCCCCGTTTGTGTATGAAAGTAGAGTTAGCTTACTTTAAGCGAAAGTTCTGAATGTCTGCATCTCTCAATTTTTGGTCGTTCACACTTTGTATTAGATTGAACAAGCGGAGGCTTACGGGCCTCAGTGCTCATCCGACTGCCCATTCACTATTCACTGTGACAAATTTATATGTGGATGTCGTTAACTGAACCCCTTATTATGGTCGATAAATTACAGTCTTACAGTCGTCCACAACTTCAACAATGTTAATTTACAATATAGTAAGGCCTGACTTCAACTTTACAAGTTCTAGCCTTTTTGTCTTATGAATATCTTATTATTTCTGTATAAATCTGCGCCCTCAGTCCATGTCCAAACATGAAGCTACTACATGAAAAGGAACCTGGGGTGGGGGTGCCCCCCAGTAATTTTGCCCATATATAGAATACTATAGAAAACATAACTATATGCTTGTGCCCCCTCAATGAAAACGTCTGATAACCTTTTTTTTTTTTTTTTTGGTTATAAGTGCCTCCCCAACTGAAAATGTATGTCTGTGCCCCCCAAACTAAATTGCTTCTTACGGACCTGATGCTGACTTAATTATTATGACCCTGCTGGTTTTCTCCTCCATGATTTTGGTCAACCCTTAAAAAAATGAAGGGGGTCCGAGAAAGGGGGATCCTAAAAAGCATCATGTTCAAGCTTGTCCTACTTAGCCAACTATGTTTTGGATTTAATTTTCAAAAAAGAAATATCAGTCATATAACTGCAGAAAATTACGTCTGTCTTTAGAATGTTTTAAAAGATTTCTTCTACATATTCATAATACCTAATACCATGTAAATCATAACTGTATTGTGACCCTACCCAAGCCGAAGGGGCCATGATGTGAACAAATCTGATTTTAACCTAAACTACTGTTCCTTTCTTTTTAAAGATTTTCCATTTATTAAAAAGATATTATCTGCTACGACCCCAGTCTTGCTTATAGCAAACTTCAATACATCTATACTACCTGATGATTCTTGTATAAAAATTTGACTGCGGTATTTGTGTTCTTCTTGAGAAGATTTTTATTTTTTTTATTTTTTTTTTATTTATTGTAATTTTTGTATACATATATTTAACTTTGACCCCCTATTTCTCATATTGGACCCACAAGCCATGATATGGAAAAAATTTTAACAATACAATACTATGTATTGAGAAGTTTCCAAAATAAGTTCTGTCTTTTCTGGCCAAGCGGTTCTTTAGAAGATTTTTAAGGGATCTCACACTAAATTCTGTATAGTTTATATTTCTTTTTTTTTTATATCCCCTCCATATGAAAATATTTTTATCCCCTTTATGCAATGATGCTCTATGACAAGTTTGGTCGAAATTGGCCCCTGGGTACTTGAGAAAAAGATGAAAATGTGAAACTTTACACACACAAACACACACACGATGAACATAATAAATCCTCTTACTCAAGTTTGCAAATATTTACATTTGATTATCTATTTAGAGAGCAAAAAAACATTGCTATTTCGAAATATCGATCGAGAATATTCTGGGTTCGTGTTCAAATTAGGTTTTTGTCACGGGAAGTAAATACGACTCCTCTATCGTATATTGTGTTCTATTTTCAAACTTATCTTTTAAATTCAATATCTGTGTCATGTATCTAACAAAAGAAATTTTCCGCTATTTTGAAATTATATACATACTGTTAACCGCTGCCAAAACAAACCACTTATTTTTTAAATTTATTCAAAAATTTAATATAATACAATCAAAATTTATCAGTCGATTGCCAACCATTTGCTCAGATCTTCCTCAAGACGCATGCTGTGAAAAACTCGCGAAATATCCATAACATTTGTTGACGCTCGTTTAAAGTACAATGTTATTTTATTACGAAACCTTGAACATGTTAAAAGAGCTTTTTTGTACTTGGAACTATTTTCTCCAATTAGTCTGTGTGGGTTTTTTTTATTTACCTGGTAGTCAGCCAGCCTCTCCCACTTCGGTAAAATGTAGAATTTAATGCCGTTCACTGCACCCGGCAGGGTTACTCCTCTGATCAATAATACTAGCAAGACTAGATATGGAAAAGGGGCTGCAAAATGCATCACCTGAAATAAAATAAAAATCTTTAATGCAATACATGTGTATATATCTAATTACGGGATTAGCAGTACTCTACAGAAAAGCTTAGCTTCAAACGTCCCAAATTCAAGAGTAGTATTAAGCAGAAAAAAAAATATGTTTTATCAAACGTTTATTTATGTGTTTATATGGTGCTGATGACGAGATTCCGAATTGTCTTCTCCATATAGATTTTAAAACAATAGAACAGTCAATATAAATCTATTCAAAATATTGATTAATAATACTAGGATAAGTAAGAACATTTTATTCTCTTATTTCATCATACATATACGATGTTCATATACCGTTTAACATTTGTTGCATTAAAAGTTATGGTTAATATATATAATTCTGATGATTCATATATAAGAGGAATTGTTGAAGAGTCAAATATACTTGTATATCATGTTCAACACCTGTTCAAATGAGTCACCAAAATTAATATCGTATCTGAATGAAAATTTCAATCAATTTTTGATCTTTGCTAACAAGGATATAAGGATGCGTTCTAGGTCAAATGACTGTTAAATGAAGACAAAAATAATTTGTTTTAGTTGAATGTGCTGCTAAGTTTTTATTATGTAAACCACAAAACAATTGACACTTTATGTTGCTCAATATTTTTTTTTAAGCAAATCTTCAAAATTTGAGCACTTGACATTATCTAACGAGAGGTCACTTTTATTGTTTGGGTGAAGACTTGCTTAATACTTCTAGCTATTTATGGTCGTCCTATTTATGCATGTACTTTAATCTTATTGAACGTATGTGTGATCACAACTGTGATTCTACTGAGGCCCAAGTTCAACGTACCTTTCCTAAAACTTTGACACCTTTAAATAGGCACAAAAACACGGTGACCCACGCCAGAGTCAAGCAAATCAACAGCTGCCATCGTATGGTACCCGGATTGTTTATTCCTTCAGTAATTTCTAGAACGTGCCGTCTGCAAGAAATAAAAAATAAATAATAAATTTTAAAAAATAACAGTCTTTATATCTTCTAGAAAAGCAATATTGACCATGATGTAATAAATTCATAATCAAAGTCGACATATATACAAAATACATCAATTTAATAAAAGTGAGGAGAGATTTAATAAAAACAGTATTTACATAATTAATTGATCAACACACAGTAGTTCCGACAAAAAAAATATTTTTGAATTTATGAATACTCACGTCCAAAACTCCTCGCTTGCTGACATCTTTTTGCCGACAAGAGCCGTTGCGGCCACAGTCCCATTGAAGAAAGTACTATTTGTGTTAGATGTATCATTGTATGTAGAATTTCCCAGGGAGAAGGCTGAAACATTACCCCGAGTAGGATTGTGAATATTTCCTATTCCTACAACGCAATTTTCCGTATTCCAATCATTATCACACGTACTCCAAGGCAGAACTGCCCGGAAAGACATGTACAGAAAATACAACGTCCAGGCTACTATCACGTTATAGTAAATACACACGATTGCAGACACCATAACCATTCCTACTCCAACACCTGAAACATAAATACTTTTCATTTTTAAGCAAGAATTTTATGTTTTTGTAGTTTTTTAAAACCTATTTAAGTGTTGTTTGATATATTTTTTTTCTGATACATGTGAAAAGTAGATAAATTGAAGTTTTGAACATAAAATGTTAGAAATTCTTGCAAATTTTACAAGGTTAGCATGGTAAGATTTGCCTAACAAGGGCAATGGCGTATTTTGCTGTCTCTTTGAAAGATTTTCTTATTATCCATTAAAAAAATTCCCACAATGCATATTTCTATTGCTAGGAAATATGCCAGAAAGATCACTTACTTCATGAACTTTGTGACTTTAAGGATAAGGGTCAGTAAACTTTTCCCAGGGCCTTATCAATGGGCATTGCACCTTAAAGATTGCCCTAGGCAAGTATCAATGTACAGGTAGCCTATTGTTATAGTCCACATAACCTCACATTCACAAGGTAAATGTATTGTTTTTCAAAACATGTCAGTTGCCAGTGCTTATCAGTTTAATTTGCACCAATTGCCCTTGTCTAAAGTTCTATTGCACGCACTGCAAATGAGAGAAAAAAGTGGGAATTTTCCATGCTTATTTCGCTGACTGTTGCAAATTCTACACGTTGCATGCATGAATCGATTTTTATTTCATCACAAAATAAGGAGAAATTTCCTGCACCTTTCTTTGTTGTTATACACCGACAAGTATACGTGTAGTTTCCGGCTTATAAAATACAACGAATTATCAGTTTTCTTCCGGAAAAACGTAGAGAAGCGGAACCTTTTTAACAAATGAAAATTCAAGTATGGTAGTGCTCGAGTGTTGTAAATAATGTTATGTGTAAACGGACACGTAAATTACAACATGCAAGTATAGTGAATGAAAAAGTTAAACCATGTGGCGCACAGACAAATTTCTTGCCAGTGATGGGCAAACGGGTAACCAAGCCACGGACAGGTAAACCGGCCGTTATTGCCTATAAACTCCTGCTCAACATTGATCTATCTTACCTTTGAACAGTGGGCACATTCTCCATACTGAAATTGGACTCAGACTAGAGAACTGTCCATAAGACGCCTCCAGAAAGAAAAGAGGTACCCCGCAAAGGACTAGAAACATCACATAGGGAATGAAGAAAGCACCTGAAAATCAATTACCTTTATTAATTTTAAGAAAATACAGTAAATATCATTTCTTCTAAATTTAAAGAAATCTATAAATTCCACATTTTGACCTGTCATATCTCTGTAATTCTAACGTTTTAAAAACTTGCAATTGCATAAAACGGAATCATGAATACCCTGAAAAAAAATGTTGCGACATTTAATAAAACCGGCGAAATATTCATTTGCCGCAATTACATTTTAACACAAGTTATGTCCTCGATGGATCCATTAATGTAGTCTCGGAAAATAAAATATCGATCTGATCAATAGAGACTGATAGAATTCTTTTGTTGACTATCGCTACGTGCTCTGCAACACCATTCTCTGATATTTTAATTTTAACTTTTTATGGCAAAATAACATAACATTCCAAATATTTTTTAAGTAAGGAGCTTCTTTCAAATATTAAATATCTTTAACGCTAATCTCGCGGTCTCCGTTACGGAAGACTAATACAATACGGGACATTTCACCAGTCAAAAATAGGTCAAAGTTTTAAGGTTCTTCTTTCACCACTGTGATCTAGATAACCAAGTCACTGTCCGTTTTTTCCATCCTTATAATTCTTAAACATAGGCTAAGCTTGATCCTGTTTTTACTAAATCGTCAGGACATTTTCACTGTGTCATCCAATTTAAGTACATTAGTACTCCTGCATGGAGCGCTATTATAAATATTTGTTTACAAAGTCAGGAAAATATACATGTACATGTAGCTGTCGAGGCCTTTTTTTTTTAAATATTTAAATTTTTTTTGTTTTTGTTTTATGTACTCCGACCCCCATTTCTCAAGGTGGGTAGGTGGTAGGTAAGTAGTGTTTTTCTTTTCTTTAGAACGCATTGATAATCGTCATTTAAACGACTTTTAAAAATATTGATGTTTCATTATAATATATACACTAGACAGCAAGACAGATTTTAAATTATTGCTGTAAAAACATTCAATCTAAAAAAAAGCGTCTTTGGGAAATGATAAACCTTAACTTTAAAAAAAAATCTGTGTTTCAGTGGAAACAAAAATAAATAAATTTAATTTAATTTAATTTAAAGTGCTGAAAAAAAAAAATGATCGGAGAGCTGTGATTTTGACGGGTCGCTCAGGCTCAGAGCATATCAAACAAATCATTTTATTTTTAATTTTGGACCCAACATATTAATTTGAAAAGTTATCAGTAAGGGTATTTACAACTGTTAGTGTAAATATTTTCATGTCAACATATCCTTCGCATTTTTACGGTATATAAGTGATTAAGTGGAAAAAAACTTCCTCCACTGCTTTGTTGTGTGTTTACGTAAACTATGTACATATACTTGTTTTGTCAATTTACTGAGTATACAAGGATCACAAGAAAGTCTATATGGATAACACGACTGTAAGCAAGACTTAGTTCTTAAATTTCATCTCGCGATTCTTTACATCTAACGGAAACCTTTCACTGTCATTAAATGACGACGTCTCAATATTCCAACACAAACTAATCACAAGTAATTTCTCTCTCTCTCTCTCTTTGGTTTTACTATATATACATTAATCCATGCGCTATTAAATAAATCTTTTACTGTTATAGCATATTTTTTCCCCTTCTCATTTAGATTCCAAAGCAATCCTTCATAACAATAGCACTGTCACTTTATTCATTCTGTCTGTACTAAAAAATAAAACCATTGCATTTCCTTCCCTATTGCATTTACTGCATTTACTTTAACCAAACCTCAAACATTAATACTATATAAATATCAGCATAATGAATTCAGGCTTTTCAACAGGCATGTGAGGTATGATGCACATTGTAATTTAGAAATATTTCCCAAAGTCTACACAAAGAACACACATCTTGGATTCTGAAGATTACATTTACATCCATAACGGAATGTGTAATTATAGACAATGTTTATTTTCCTTGATTTTCCACACCTCGGGCACAACATTTCAGATCTATTTTTATTCTTTCATACAGCATATTTGTCGCTGATCTTTTGACTTACATCCAAATGCTTATGCAAATGAAGGCACTTTAAGCAGCTACATCCTTTTCATTTACAAAAATTATATATATTATTTTTTTAATTAACAATTTTTTTTTCGAGAGTTACCTAAAAACTTTTGCACCCCTCCCTTATTTTTTTATAAAAAGAAATTCACATTTACTTAATTTTTTTTTTAAAGGTGCGTAAATGTGCATTCTTTGTCATCTTAAAGTAATAAAATTCATTATATGAGGTACCAATTATCAACGCAAAATCACTTACCACCACCGCTTTTGTAACAAAGGTAAGGAAATCTCCAAATATTTCCCAATCCCACGGCATACCCAATGCATGTCATAATAAAGTCCAGTCGCCCTTTCCAGCCATCCCTCTCTTGGATTTTTTTCTTCTGCTGGACAATAGAATCGTCAGAAGAGCAGCTTTTAGAAGACTCTGCATCCTCCTTCTTCATCTTTGCAATATCTAGCGTAAATTCCAAATCCTGCGTAGAATAAACAAAGATCAATAAGATAATTAGGAGTTTTCCAAGTGTCATTCTTCTTACAGATGTATACATTTGTCCAATGGCATGCCGTAGTGTGTTTTCTTCTCTTTATTTTGAATATTCATTAAAGTCAACATGTCTGCTCTATCCACCCTTTTGGTTTAATGTTTTCTCCACATATATATTATTATTGTCTTTCATGATTAAATTTGCAGAATTTGTTGACTTTTTATTTATTTATTTATTGTTATCTACATTATTATGGTGCTTACAAACTTTAAATTTAATTTACCATTACTTTGAAAAGAAATATTATAAAATATCAAAAACAGAAAATATTTCCTAAATGAGCTGGATATAGCCTAGTTGAGCATGTGTTTACATGCTGTATTCTTGACAAGCCTATTGCATTTATTTATGTAAATTCAATGAAGACCTTTTAAGGATTCGTATTAGCAAAGTTATTTTATACTTAGGGTGGGATCAAACGATCGATGTCTGATCCAAAAAAATTCAAGGGGGGGGGGGGAGGGGGAGGGGTTAAAAGCCCCAACAGTTTTCCGACATTTGATGATTACATTTTTAAAAAAGCACATTGTACACAAATATGTTAAACAGTATATATTCCATTTACAGAGCTCTAGTTCCCAAGCATTATTTTAACAAAAAATATATCTATATTTATCATTTTATTCTATAGACGTGTAGTTTTTGTTATTTTAAACGAAATGATTTCAATACACATAGTTAACTTATTTTTTTAAAATTAAACAATGGCTAAATTTCATAGTTACAGATACTTTTTAAACTTCCATAACATGACAACCTTCTGCTTTTTCAAACCTCCAAAACAGGCGAGCAGACGTTTTTAATTTCATCGTTCGAATTGACTATGAATTTAACCGGATATGATACTGCGAAACTAAGTCATGAAACCCGTACGATTACGCATCTACATTCCGTTCGTATATAGATATTTACATTACATGGGTAATTAAATAAGAGATCATATATTTAAAATTCGCGCTTCTTTAATAAAATAAAAATGATTTTATTAGTAATCGAATTTTGTCCTTTTTCCATAAATAATCTATGCGATAATGGTTCTGTATGAATATTTCCGAGAAAAAATATGAGAATTATTATTGTTCTAAGCTTTCAAATAGATTTAGATTTTTTTTCAGATTTATTACCCCTTTCTGAGCATGCAGCATGCACGGTTATATAAAATCAAACAATTCACAATACATGTATTGTAATATTTTGCAGTATATATCATTTTATTTAAAATAATAATATACATCTTCATCTGTTCATATAATTGAATAAAACAGTTATAAGAATATATATCTTTAAAACTATTCTTTACCCTCACACGAACATCGATCATAAACCACGCGGTTTTTTTATTCACAATGCAAAATCCATGATAACACATTTAGACAAAAAACATAGAATGTCCTACCTTAAAATTGGTAGTTTTTAATTTATATCCAAAACTCTTTTTTAAATAAAAATTGAAATATTTTTATTAACAAAATGGACAATTGAGCTCGGGGATCGTCTCTTGCATCTAACAAAAAAGTCGGTCACTGCTTGAATATATGTTCGAGGTTACAAGAAAATTTTCCTCTACGTCACTTCACCCTACAGGGTTGTGCTAAAATCAGAGGAGTTTGGTATATAGTAAAGTTCAAAAACATTTCCTCTTAGTCAAAGGTTTTTACTGATACATTTTCAAATTTGTTAAACCTTAAATAGAAGTAAGTTGACCACAAAAAAATGAAACAGTAATTGATGAACATGTCGTAAAATACTATGTATTTACCGGCATATACTTGATTTATATCTATAAATTTGTTTGTTTGTTTTTATTGTAATGCATTTTTAAACTACAGAAAGCAATGGTTTATATCTGCCGTATACATATTTTTACCGCTAAATTATTCATCTAGTCTTTCTGGAAGTGGCAACATAAATTAACGAGAACTGCATTAAAAAAAAATTCTGGGAATAGCCGTACAACATCATGGGGTCATTCACGTGACCTTGCAATAAACAATTAATCAACAGCGTATATTATCCGCATTAAATTCATGGTAGTTTATTCCTATTTTTAGGCCGTTTAAACACCTATTAAAATGCGTATGATACTACTCGGCGTACCCTCCATTTAAAGCGCTATAACTACAACAAATAAAAAAGCCAAACAAATTAACAAACAAACAAACAAAAAAGAACAAGAAAAAAATATGCATGGCCGTGCCGGAGAGTAAGTTGTTAAAAAATTCAATTAAGACAGGTATGGTCCGGGCTTTAAAAAATTGTCAATTTTATTTATCTATTTATTTATTTATCTATTTTTTATTTACTTGCAATTGCATGAATAACTACTTTATAACTAACTCGATCGTAAACTAACTAAAAAGACATGTCTTTTCATGTTTATTATTATGTATAATGATGAACTTAATAAATAGAATGCATATAACAAATACAAAAGAAAAGCATACAGCTGTGTACGTAATATATATTTTTACCCCCCCCCCCACAAAAAAAAATGTATCTCCATGTAAAATATTCTCTTAATTTTAATTAAAAATCTTATATGAGTAACTTCAATTTGTAATACCTTTCAAAAATTGTTTGATTCCTTTAAAAAAGTCTAACATTTCCTTTTTTTCTGAGCGGCCTGAAAAAAAAAATCGATGTTGGACTGCAAGGCGAGATATTGGACCTGTCGATGAGATATTGGACCGCTATGACGTTATTACGTCACAATATAGACGGGATTAAGGTTAAATCTAATTAAGTAATTACAAACAAGGAAGCCATCGCAATGTCCCCGAACACAGTCAAAAAATGTATATTATTACCCACGAGATCTAGTGTACTAAACTTACAACAATTACTATAATAGTAAGTCTAGCGAAATTATGCAGTGTTAAAGAAAGCGCGTATTTGCTGGCTCTCTCGAATGCTATAGCAACTACATGTTTTAATGGAATTCTGGCGCGGATCCAGGATTTTGTTTTAAAGAGGTGCTGTTAGATTGCGAGGGATATGGACACCGCCGAGGACCCATCGGGTTTAAGACAATGCCCGGAAGGGGCCTTGGGGTGACTTGGCAATTAGGTAAAGATACGTGTATTTATTTTAACACAAAAATGACTAATTCGACTTTTATTTCATCCATATATGGAAATGAAAACTACATCTGAAATTATTTGGGTTATAGAGGGGGCGTTCATCGAGAGTGCCCCTACCTGACTCCGCGCCTGGAATACGCATGCTCGAATTCACGGCAGCATTTTGAAAAATAATCGTATTACATCGATGTGTCATCTGAAAATTAATTCATATCATCTGCAGTTTCGTGTTTTGTCTGTCGTCTAACCTTTACAAAAAAGTACCAACTTATCTTAGGTCCTATTATACCAAGACAGCAGAGATCAGTTATATTTCTAAAATTGATAACACAGTCATGTGAATACCTTACTCGGGCTTTTCTTCGGGCAAGCTCGGAATTGGTACAGTGTACGCTAGCGTCCATGACAACCTTATTTTCTTAGAAACATTGAAATATATAAATGTTTTGGCGCCTCTAATCTATATAGAGGCTGGAGGTAAACTTCATTGAATGCAACGTACGATGTAACCTAAATATATACTAAGAAGAGAAAATCAACTCTGTCTATAGCAAAATTAATACTTTAATTAATGGGAAGCGACTCCATTTTGTACAACATTTTAACCTCCGTCGGGTGATGTAAAGTTTTTCTGAGCTTTTCGAAAAGGCCCGAGAAGTTGTGATTGCTACTTTATCATTCTGAATCGAGACCCCCCCCCCTAGCTCCCTCCCCCAGTGCAGCGCAATCTTCCTATTAATAGTTATCTGCTCAGAAAAATAATCATCTGCTTCTGTTTTCAATAATGGCTACAGCGCTAGCTTTTTTAAAAATATAAGCTTGTTTGTATATTACATTATGAAAAAATTCAAGCTTTGGTGGCAATTTTGATTTCTTTTGGGTAATAGTTGTTTGTTTGCTAAATACGTCCCTTTAAGAATACGTGTATGTTAGGACGCCACCATAAGCCGACGGAGAGATGAATTCAAATTTAAACCAGTAAACCAGTTTGACACTATGGCCTTGAGCATGCATTGAAGAATTTTTTCAATGAAAAACATTTTGACATTTTCATACAGATGTGCAAGGAAGAAGACCAAAGAGCAGCTAGGGTCATGGAAACATGCACAGCAGTACGTGGTCATCATTAAACCGCTGTTGGCTGGGAAAATTACTGCAATAAATCCCTCTAACATTCCTAGCCCCAGGATTGTGAAACGATTTGGCCTTCAGTCGAAACATGTATAGCGTCCTGAAATGGTGGAAAGGCCAAAATAATGCATCACCAGAGTGCTTATTTTGAGTTCAAGTTCAGATTCCAGTTACTAGTATTAATGGTATTTTACAGAAGATTGGACTCTGTGTGTGTCTTTTACGATCCCGGGGCCTGGACCCTATCAGAGAAAGCACCATTCCCTCCACAACATGTTTTTTACTTCCCTATGAAATATATACGTATATATGCATTGTATGACAATTTGATTCGAACTCTGAATGTTATGGTTTAAGACCCCCCCCCCCCCCAACTTAACCATCTCTCCCACTCCCAATCTGAAAAGCTGTTAGGGACCTAGCTGCAATTAATCCATTTTTTTTTCTCTTAGAGTGTTTTTCCCCTCTAAATCCATGAGTTAAGTTCAATTCACTCTTGCTTTCATGACTTATACAACATATCTGTTTTCTTAAGAAATATGATCCGCCAAGATATATTTCAAGACAAAGTTGAATGTAAATGTTGAATATAAGACAAAGTAAAGTTGAATGATCTTTGGGTTACTTGTAAAAAAAAGTAGAAATTTAAGCTAAATCAAACAAATTTTAAATTCTACAGATCAAATATAAACAATTTTTTAGTGCTTTTCAATGTCA